CACTCACTGTCTAAACCTCAATCCCTTGATCTAATCAGACCTGTTATCCCCGACTCAATAATTTCTTTTTTATGACGACTTTCAATTATATTTTACTTTTTAATTATCCTGTATTCATTTTAATTTTCTAATAAAAAAAATCTCGATCTACTTTTAATTAATTTTATTTAAAGAATAAATAAGTGACAATTATAATATATTAGTATTAAGAAAATAGTCTTTAATATGTTCAGGAAATGTTAGTTTTCTATAAAATAAAATGTTATTGAGTTTGGCACAATTACTTCGTGTTGCATTTCTTCGAAAATTTCGTGTTGCTTTTTTCATTAGTTGATAATCAATAAAAAAGAAAAACATTATTTGGTAAACATGTTTTTGTATCAAATAAGAATTGTTTAACATAATCGATATGAGCTGCAGTAAGATCAAGCTCATTAAGATGAGGATATTCAATAATTGATAAATTTTCATTGAAATTTTTTGATATTCTAAATGATTTATTATGTTGTCGCTTTTGATTGACTACAGTTAATTTTTCTAAAAATGGAAATGATTGAGAAATCTGAATAAAAAATTCATGTTCAAATGGGCGTTCATCAAATAATAATATTTTACGAACACATGTAAATAATCCACCTGGAAAATTATTTGTCATAGTATCATAATGTTCTAACTGATATGGATATGAATAAATATGACATAGACCTATTTCGGCCTTTGGAAAATAATCAACACAAGAAACAATTTCATTATATTTAAAATTTTTAAATGTCTTTTGAATATCTTCATTAGATAATAAATTAATTTGATAATTAAAATGAATAAATGAATAAATATTAAATATAAATGTATTTAAATATGGCATATGATTAATTATATTTATCTTCATTTCATTACCATCAATAAATGTTTCTCTTTTACAAATAAGAAGATATAAATAAAGTTTTTCTAAATTTGACATTCGATGTAAAAATGGTAAAATTAATTCATCATATTCATATATATCATTATTACAGGAAAGTGAAAAACATTTTAATTTAGGTAGTTTTTCCTAGAAAAACAAGCAATAAGATTATTAGTTCTTTCTGTAAATAAATTTTATATTAAAAACAAAATTAATCTACCGTATTATTAATTATTAAATTCGAAGATTGAATTCGTAAAATATTAACATAAAGTGTATGAAGTCGATTAAAACGTCTATCACATAAATAAAGACAATCAGTAAAATATTCTAAATTGACATGTAATTCTAATAAATTTGATGAATTGATAAATGGAGATAGAATATAAAATGATAATCGTGGACAAGCTACTGAAGATGAACCAAATTTTAAATATTCTAAATTTGTAAATGTAGTAAAAATATATGTAAATATAATTGAAATCACATCTTCCGATACATTTTGTTGTTCATTTGTATCAATATCGATAATAAGTGATAAAATTTGATTGTTGAAGGTGCAGGTGAAACGATTTTCATCTAAACAATGAAAAGATGAAAACTTATATTAGGAATAATATTTTATTAAATTCTATTTTGTTTTACTTACATCTTAATATGTACACTATATTCCTTTTTTTTCTTAATAGAGCGGAAATTTACATAAATGACAATCATTAATCCTTATCATTTATTTTATTCTAGATTTTCTTTTTTTAAAAGTTTTGTTTAAAAATTTAATTCATCTGTTACTGGAAGAATAAAAGTAACAAAAAATCTTACCAGTAAAAAGACGTGTAAGTGTTTCTGCATGAATATTATATAAACCAAGTCCAGTTAAATTAGGATAATTTGTAGTAAGAAGAATGCGTTCCATTGAAGATGATTCAAGATCAAGCCATTTGATTTTATCATGAATTTTAGGCAATATATGCAAACAAAATTGATTAAGTGTTGGATCAGATAATGGATAAGTGGAACCATTTGATAAAGATATCATCAAAGTCAAATGATTTGTAAAAGTAAAATCATGCACAATTTGATTTAATCGTTTATTAGCACCTGTTAAAGAATAAAGTACTTCTGTATTTGTCAGCTTTTTAAAAATCATCATCAGAATTTCATCAGGTAAATCATTCAATTCAGTAAATAAATGTTCCATGCTTATCTTCATAAATGTAATGTCTTGACTTGTGAATATCGATATTTATATAGACATACTCATGTGTCTAATTGGCCTATATTCGTCAATGAAAAAAATGAATAATTTTGCTATAAAACAAATTGATGATCAGTGACTCTACAGCTCAGAGACTAATATTTTCTCTCTCTCTCTCTCTCTCTCTCTCCGATTAAAATAGCAGATAAGAAATTTAGAAAATCTCTTTCTTTTTTATATTATAATTTATATGATTACATATCAATGACTTTGTTAATGTTTGGCACAATTGTTTTTTTTTTTGAAAAACTAGAAATTATTTCATTGTGAAATCTTAGCTAAATATTTTAAGAGAAAAAAATTAATATGTGTTGAGGTGAACGTTAGATTTTTAATTTGATTAAATATTTTTTGTGAAGTCTGTTAGAAGAAAATTGAAATGAATAATTTTTCTTGAGAGTGAAGATAAGGATACGTTCTTAGTGTCGCAACTTTTCTTCTGACAGAATTCTGTCAAAAAATGACTTTCCATGATTAATACTCATTATTATTAAAAGAAATTATCAAATAATAGGAGTATAAATATATATACAGAAAGAGAGAGCGTTAATCTTCAAGCTAAATCAATATATAAACTCACATTAACTATT